TGATGCAGGTATAGCTGATTTCAGTTCTCTTCATTCACCTCTGTAAGTCGCGGAAAAAGCGTATTTACTCAGATTTTGCGAATCTTCCGTGATATGGCCGATTCCACTTTTACAGCACTCTGTGTTCGCCATTGACCCTCATTGTGCTGATTTCACGTCTCTTCAATCAACTTTGAAAGTCGCGGAAAAAGCGTAATTACTCAGATTTTGCGAATCTTCCGCGATATGGCCAATACCAATTTTACAGCACTCAACGTTCGACATTGATGCAGGTATAGCTGATTTCACGTGTCTTCATTGAAATTTGAAGTCGCGGAGACAGTGTTTTTTCTCAGATTTTGCGTATCTTCCGCGATTTGTCCGATACCACTTTTACAGCTTTCAGTGTTCGACATTGTTGCAGGTATAGCTGATTTCACGTGTCTTCATTGAACTTTGGAAGTCGCGTAAAAAGTCTTATTTCCCCGATTTTGCTATTCTTCCGCGATATGGCTTATTCTACTTTTACAGCACTCAGCATTCGATATTGATTCTGTTAATACTGTTTTCAGGTCTCTTTCTAAGTTGAGGAAAAAGATGCTTAATTCGATTTTGCGAATTTTCCAATATGTGGGCAATAGCACTTTTACAGCGCTCAGCGTTCGACAGTGTTGCAGGTATAGCTGATTTCACGTCTCTTCATTCAACTTTGAAAGTCGCGGAAAAAGTGTTATTTCCCAGATTTTGCGAATCTTCCGCGAACTGACTGATTTCATTCTCACTCGTGTAAGCGTTCGACATTGATGCAGATATAGCTTATTTCAGTTCTCTACATTCATCTTTCTAAGTCTCGGAAGAAGTATACTTAATTAGTTTTTGCGAAATTTCCAATATATAGCCGATTCCACTTTTACTTTAGTCTGCGTTCGACATTAATACAGGTATAGCCGATTTCAGGTCTCTTCATTCGACTTTGAAAGTCGCGGAAAGTCCCGGTTTTTGCACTCAGATTCATCCAATTTTCCGCTAACTGGCTGTTTCCACTCTCACTCGTCTCAGTGTTCGCCATTGACGCTCATAATGCTGATTTCAGGTCTCTTTATTCATGTCTAAAGTCGCGGAAAAAGTGTATTTTCTCAGATGCTGCGAATCTCCCGCGATTTGGTTTATCTCTTTCTCCGCACTCAGCGTTCGACATTGATGCCTATAATATTGATTTGAGGTCTCGTCTTTTGTCTTTGTAAGTGGTGGAAAATGTGTGGTTTCCCAAATTATTCGAATTTTCCTGTTTTTGTCTCATTTCACTGCTTATCCTAGCAGGGTGCTTAGCGACGCCGAGCAAGCAGTAGCATCCTGGAACGGCCCTATTCTTTCCGTGTCAGCATGGGAGTTTTCAAACGAATTGGAATATTAACCTAAAAGAGCAAATGGTTTTTGTTGTTAAATATCAAGAGGACTTTGTGATGTGTTCATTGTAGTCCCAAACGGTCTTGGTATGCATCCCCATCTTGATCTTCATTCGGTTGTTCGTCCATGAGTACATTGAAATCGTCATGAAGTCTTTTTTTTTTCTTCTTTTGTGATCTTTTGTGAATGTTGGGAATGGAGCCTCATTTTCCCCTACCCAAATATCACATTCACCATGGTCGTCCTTTGTGCTCCATTATGTCGCACTCGTTGGCGAAAGCGAAAGCCGCTTTCTTCGAGAGAGAAACCAGAGGCTTCTCTACTTTGTAACTGGTGATACAAGGAACCTAGTGGAGTACCCTGACATCGTGGACACCACCGGCCAGCGGGCAGACATATCTTGTACATGTGATCTCATATGCACTGTTGCAAACGCACATGACGTTTATCGAATGAATCCCTTGTGATTGAAGAAATTAAGCTCATTAACTGAATACCGACGATCACGTCAGTCACACCTGGGAACTGACCAAAGGCATCCCTTTATTGTGCCATCTGACCATCATCTGGTTGCGTCACAAAATGTGAAACCTTGCAGCAAGTACAACCTTCCTATCCTACTTGCAGAAACAGTCACTCATTTAGCAGTTTACAAAGTACTTTGAACCAACACGGATTTGAATAACATGGATTATGTTGTGATTTCTGGGAGCTACTGGTTTTACGTCCTCTTGAAGGCCAGTGAGGAAAAGAATGCTGCTCATGTCAAATTGGTAACGCTTGTACAAGTCAGAGTCGTAATAAGCATCAAGCGGGGTCCCAGTCGGCACAGTCACGTTGTGTCAACGTTGAGAAAAGTTTGAAACGTTGACACTTAGTTAATTGATAATCCGACGAAGAATCGACGTCAATGAAATGCTGGTTATTCGTAATTAACAGTATTTGCAGCATATTGTGTCTACTCGTGGATTAGCGAAGACGTTTAGTGGCTATTAAGCGCACATTCTTTTCTCATCATATATGATTTGCGGTTTGATGTCGATTCTTCGTCGGATTTTCAACTTAACCAAATCTCAACGTTTCAACCTTTTCTCAACGTTGACATCAACGTGACTGTGCCGATCGGATTGATTATCTGGCGAAGAACTCTATTGCAAACAAGTGCCCTTCTCTAGAAGATATTCGGCAGTTGAATAAAAGTGTTACTCATGTTCTAAAGTGTTACTAGTGTATAAGTACAGTGTATAAAGTGTACCAAAGTGTTATTAGCCCACTTATCCATTCTGCTAAATAGCGAATCCATTGCACCCAACGGACATTTAGCGACAATATGATGCATTTTCGAAGTTCGATGGATCCCCTTGTTTTCACACTTTTCCCCCTTTGGAATCGTTGGATTCGTTATTGTAGCTATTTGGAAATGGTTTCAGGATGTTTAATTTTATTTTTTATTTTATTATTTTTTTTTAGGTGATCGTAACACTCATAGTGATACGTACGAAGGATGAGATGGGTTTTCTTCATTGTCATATCTTCGCCATATCAATTTTCCACCATGGAATGGTGAAAAAAAAATAATATGGCGAAGATACCGTTACTACCGCCACCTTAGTTGGAGACTTGGTTTGAAGAGAGGAGGAAACCTAAGGCCAAATGCAGTGATTGTTATACGTGTGGCCCATTTTCAAAGTCGGTTGGATTCTCTAGATTTTGAATTTTCCTGCTCGGATGCGTTATCGTGGCAAGTTTGACACGGATTCGGTAATATTCTTTCATAGGAGAGGGACGTACCCAAATTGGTATAAGTGAGGGATTAATTATGGTTTCCGCTACATATTTTTTCCCTCTCAGCCCAGCCCTGAACACCAACAGACCTTTTGTTTGTGGCAACTTTAACCGTCGCCTTTTGCAATGCAGTTACAAAAACTTTCAAGCTCCGCAGACGGCCATCGGGAGAGTTCTTCCACAGTCTTCGGAGTGAGGAGAACCAACAGGTTCTCCTGACTCCTGCCGTCCTCAAGAAACACAAGTTCCCAAAGTGGAGTAGTGGAACCTTACATACTTACCGTCTGGCGTCTTTTTACAAATGCCAAACCGTAGGCGAGACACAATTATTTCAGTTAACTGCTGAATTTACTTTTTCGAGTGGATGCCAGAACGAAGGTTCCGCGATAAGTAAAGCATGAGCTGCTTGTCTTTATTAATCCTTATCCGGGCAAGGACCGTTGGACTCCCATGCCTCAATTTTTCTAAACAGCTCTCAAACCATTGCAGACATTTTCCTGTCATTTTTAGTATTTTTCCTTTAAGTTAAGGAGACCCTAACGCCAGAACATCGCCAACCTGAAAATTTTCAAAATGTAAGAAAAAATTACTTTTTTATTTGAATAACGTAACCGGGCAAGGGGGTCCATTGGACCCCTACTACGTTCCATGTACACATACAAAATGTTATCCCCTGAAACCTCCATATTTCTCAGCTTGATCATCTAATGTTTGCCTGAAGGGCCTTCTGACAGCTAAAGTAAAGAGAGAAAAAGGGAGGAGAGAGGGGAATCCCTGATTTTATCTTAAGCTCATGGAGAAGGATTCCTCCCGAAGCAGGATTTTCCGAAGAGATGAGTCGCTAAGTCAAATTTGGATAATTCCAAAAGAATGTTGCCTCTAACACATTCGCACTTGTATTTTTCACCCCTGTGGGACGTGTTGGAATAACGTTATTCTCTATATGGTTCGATGTAGCTTAGTCATGACGCCAAGTCATGTGTTAGTGGTTCGGCTCCATCTGAAAATTTTCCTTCATGTTGTGTTGTCATTTTTTTTCCACGTAAGGCTAAATGTATCCCTTGGTCTAAAGGCTTTTAATTATGAAGCTAAGAATGAGATAATGCAAAAATGCATTCAGAAATAGAATGAGAATAATGATCAGACAGCGAAGCTGTAAGTTTATTTATGAGGTATATAACCTCATAAATAAATGTTTGCAACAATTTCATGGTGCAACTTTCTTGTAAATTAAGCTTTTATTCTTTGTTTGGGACCAAATCAACTTATTTTATTCATAACATCCGGGTTATTGCTAGTCCGATCATATAAGGTGAACACCACATCATGTGTAAAAAGAGACGGTAAATCGGATGTAAACGATACCCGAAGGTAAGAATTTGTGATTTACAGGTGTAAGGTAAGTGAAGGTACAACACAGTTTAAAAAAAAAAAACATGGGTGAGAAATAGGGGAACTGTGAAACTGAGGTGCATTACGGGTAAGAATGCGGTAAAATATCGCGGTGGAATTCAGACAGTGAAACAAGGAAAAAATATATATCTGAAAATTTCCCATTTTTAGACCTTAGTTTTCCCATCCAAATTTTACTTGATATAAAAAAATTGTTTGGAATGCAAATTAATTTCGAATTAAATTTAAATTCATCGGAATCAATAAAATAAAAACGTTACTTCGTGATAAACGTGTTTTTCCTTCTGTTTACCCCCACTATATACTTAAAGTAATAGGGGGTCCAATGGACCCCCCCCCTTGCCCGGTTCCGTTCGTCTTTTACCTTGCCCGGATAAGGGTTAATGTGTCACCTGTTACGTGAATTTCGTTTGCAGGAGGAATGGGTGTTGATCCCACTTCATTTGGGAAACGATGGACTGGAAGCAGAAGATGGAAGGAGGGAGAGATCCTCGATTCTCTTTGGGAGGGTCCCCGTCAAGTGCATCGTCTCGCACCCCAGCCGCTGGATCCCCAAGAATCCTCGTCTCTTCTGTCTCGATTCTCCTCGTTTCTGATTGTGTCGAGGGCGTTATGTATGTTTGTGTGCGAGTGAATATGTTGGTCTCATTTTGTGCTCGGGTGCTCTGTCTGACCTGGGAACAGATAATATACGTTTGTGGTCTTCCCTGTGGTGCGACTTAAATCTTTTTGGAGCCTGAACTAGCAATCTAATTCATTTGGAATCAGAACAGGAACCCAATTTGTGTTACCCTGATTTTTCGCAATACAAACATCGAGTGCAGCCAGATCCTTCATGCATAAATATTTTGGTCTCCTTGTACTGTTGGACTGGTCTGTATTACAGTTTTTCGCCCATGACATAAGCAAAGTTGGTCTGCTGTAATATAAAAAAGAAGTCGAGGTTTAATGATAGGGCTGGATATTGAAGAGCTTCACACAGCCTCTATATGTCTATCGTGGGAAAAAAGGGACCTGGAATATTACAGGGCGGACCAAAAAATAAAAATCAAGACGCTCTAGTCGATTATTCTCAGAAGTCAGATCGATGGAAATGGGATTTTAGGACATCAGCTCTATTATGATCGATGGAGCAAAATAAAATTGTACTCTCATCTCTTCGAACAAAATCTGGTAAACGTGACCTGGGTTATAAGCCCTGTCAAAACGTCCCAGAGAGATAATATTCCACTTTTCGATTATTTTTACTTGTGAATCCCTCAGATTACGAAAGATAATGTTCCAGGAAGCGAAAGATAATGTTCCGGAGTGTTCCTGGAAAGCTTTCCTGAAGCTCCCCAAGCTGCACGATCACAAGGGTGAAAATTAAGACATATTTTGCAGATAAATATGTGGCTCTTTGAAAGCAAATGCCTTCTCAGGCAATTGTTGGCAATATATATGTGGAATGAAAATTAAAGTCATGATCATTATCTCAATTACCCTCTCTGTGATTCTGGGCCTGGGCAGAGGAATATTTTTTTCCAGAGTAGGAATAGGCTTGATATGCGAAAATGGCTAAATGTCAAGCTCTAGGTGTACAATTACCACATGTCCATGGCAAAAGGGCAAGTCCTAGGTCTACGTCTAGGTCTAACCTGAAAATTATGGTCTTTTTTCGTTGAAAATGAACGAAAATTGGAATTCTCATGAGTAAGCCTCAGCATCCTAATTATCATAGATTAAACGTTATGCTAGGCCTACAGACCTAGTTTATGATATTACTTCAACATAAGTAGACTCCAAAAGCAACACGCCTATACCAAAACCAATGCATAGCAACACGAAGGGCGGACAAGGATAACGCGGCTGGATGAACCAACTCCACGAAGTTCAAACCATGGATCGAACTACATAAAATCGACTTCTCCGCACGCAGGCCGAGGAGCGAGGAAAACAAGGCCGACACTGGCCTGAGACGCGAGCGATGAGGGCAGCTATTTTTCTCCCTTTCTTCGTTTTCTCCGTGAAGGCATGTAATCTCCTGACGGACTAGTGTCCTTTACGTATAGGAATTCATGAACAACTTATTGGAGAATTTTCATCAGCGACTGATGCTGTAATTTATTATCATTGAATTCATCCATCATCAGATTCGTCCACCCAACTTGACTGGAGTTTTTTTGTTGGCTCGATGCGAGGAGGATTCACTTCGTGGATGCAGACGATGGATTTCGAGTCGGATCGCTCATGAGACCCTAAAAAATGCCTCTTCTGTGGGAGATATACAGGGTGATTGGAAAGCCACTCCTTATTTGTAAAAATTAATGACTTTCGTTCTAACAAGGATATAAACTTATATCTTGCAGCATATATGGAATTGTTATGAATTTGTTTTACTATGGGTGTTGTGATTGTGTTATAAAAGATAACGCGGCAGTCAACTGTTTGTCGTTGACCGAGGGAAAATTGCAGCGCGGTATGAGGTGTGGGGATCTATGATCCAGGTTCAGAGATGGTACCAGATGTGAAGATCGTAAGTATGAAACCGTTTGAATCCATTTCTGAGAGAGACGGATCCAACCAGTACTTCGTTGAGAAGACCAATTTAATATTTGACACATCTTAAAAATGAAGCAGTGGAGTACTGTGAGCATTGAACGCGAAGAGACGCAACATTTTTCTACTTGGGGAAAATCATTCCATTCGACAACCATAGGAAATCGTAATACGCCATCGTGACATGGATGCTAGTTGTACTTGTAATCCACACATTTTGAGCTTGACGGGCTTCTTCAACGCGCACTGTCGAATGCGACAAAACACCAGCCAAGGATATTCTTAGAATTTTCGTGACACAGACGAGACAGGGAATCGCTCGAAGGGCTTTTCTGTGTCAAGGTCACCACCGACCCTCTACCTCCACCTCCACCTCCACCTCCCCCCCCCCCCCCCTTCCCCCATTCTACGACTGCTTCTCTGCAACGGTGGATCCTAGTTGTGCGGCCGTGCTGGAATGAGCTGGTTGAGTGGAGTTGGAAGGTGTTTCGGCTCATGGGAACTAGTAGGACGTGAGTTCTCTCAACTCGGTTTTTCATAAGGACTAGTCTTTATCAGAGCCTTTTCGTGTCAGTTTGTCTGATTGCGATCTAATTGTCTTTTGCCGGGAGAAAGAAGGGCACCCACCTCTCCATTTACTGATGTCGGTGCGAAAATAATGCCTTTTTTTCTCCGTTCTCATGCATGAAAGGCAGGCGAAAAAAATTTAAGTGGAAAGATTTATATTTTCAGCCCTTGCCGCGTCAGTTTCGCGGAGAACCATCGGCACTTGGCACCACTACACCTTTCTAAAGTGACTGCTGCCCTTGGCGTGCGTGCAAAGCAGAGAGCTGTTATCGAATATCTGACCCTAGCGGAAGTACGACCTGCTCACATTCAGAGGCGACTGGAAAAAGGTCATGGGACCTCGACTGTTGGAAAAAATAAACTCTGAAACAAAGCATCCAAAGAGTTCGCCCATATCTGGAGATGTCGCAGGTGCTGCTGCAGCAGGACAACGCCCGGCCGCACACCATCCTGCGCCCCTCTGACAATTACTTCGTTCGGATGGACTCTGCTGCCTCATTCAGCCTACAGCCCCCTAGACGGTACAAGACGGGTCTTGCACCGTCAGACTATCAACAGTTTCTCAACTTTGAAGAGCTGTTCTCAAAACCTATCCTTTTAGAGGGCCAACGAAGAAAGAACCCTGCGTGCATATGGATTCGCAGCCGTGACAATGACGGCGTGCATGCCTTTGTTGAGCGCTAGAAAAAGTGTATTGAACGCGACGGAAACTATACGGGAAAATAATCGTGCGTAGATTTTGGCTTTATTTTTTCTGGTCAATTTCATTTTTTAATTATTATTAGAAGGTTAATGAGAAAAATATCAACAGGTATTACTTTCGTACCGACCCTCATACAAATCTCGAGCATGTCTGGATCTTTTCACTCTGGTAGAACCCTGCATGATTGGCTTAACTTTACAATTGGTCCTCCAACCCCTAGGACAAGGAGACTATATGGGCCACGTATATATTAATATGGATAAACTATCACCAAAATTTGCCTAACGGCGCATGCGCGTATTTTCGCACAAGGAACGTTGCAAATTCGTTGCGCAGCTGGCTCTGGGGCAACCTGGTGCAGCCATCATGTGCCATGTGACGTCACATGCTAGCGTCTGCTAGCTTGCGCTCCAAGTCGCGCATGCGCAGTGGGCGCGTTCGTCTGCTATATTGCGCATGCGCATTACGCACTTTCGTCTGCTCGCTTGCGCATGCGCATTACGCGCTTTCGTCTGCTAGTTTGCGCATGCCCAAAGGTGGTGGATTCCATATGGGAAGGTGGGTCTGCCTTAAAGGAGGCCTGCTTGTTGCACAATTGCTGTTTGAGCCTGTTCTTTCAGGTACTTGACTGTGACGAACGACAAACTTTTCATATCGTAAAACATATACACACATTCACTCGCTCACTCTCCGCATTCACTCTCTCCTGGCAAAAGGCGTGAGCAATGTTAAGCTCCATCAAGTTGAAATTGTGTTAACTGAGCGAATATAATGCATTCTCTATGTTCTCCTTCTTTAGGATAGCGTTATGATATACTATCACTTAAATGAAACTTTTCTATATTCATGGTAAAAATGCCTTATTTTCCATAAGCGTATCCTGCCTATAGCCAGACAATGCCAACCGACCGGACCTGGCTCAGCATAGTGTCAATGGTGCCCATCATGCCATTCATCATGGTAGGTGCCTGTACACCTCTGAGGAGATTCACAAGGAGTAATTTAGAGGTGCATTCCGGCATTTTCTTTGCTTCCAGCTCCGCGCGTTCCTCGGTTCTTTTTTTCTCAATCGGAGTTCATTGATTACTTGGTTCGGTAATGGATTTGGCATTTTTTATTTTGTCAAGCCGTGGAATGGTTTTGTCCATTCCGATTTCGGGATGACAACCTCGGATTCACAGAGGATTCTGGCACAAACCTCTTGAAATTTGGATTGAAATAACGAACTTTGCCTGCTATTTTATTTCTTTAGGTTAAAGCCTGTATTAGAAAAGCCGTTGCAAAGTATGTGATGCAGTCACATTGTCGCGCTGTGGGAAGGATACGATACTTAAGGGACTTCAGAAGTGTTAGTAAAATAGCGAATTCACTCGGGTAATATGGTAAATATGTTGTTAATGCCCTTTTCGATAGATGTCAGTCTTCCATCACTAGACAACCCTGTTATGTATCCGCGCATGGAGCATCTGCACTACAGTCCCTGCTCATATTATTAGATTCCAGCGAGAAATTTTTAAAATAAAATAAAAGCAACCCGAACCAGTTCGCGAATTTCGGGGTTTTATTGATAGATCTTTCGCTTTCCTAATAAGAGCAAAAGTAATACATCTAGATTAATGAGCGCATACCCAATTACTTTTAATATTTTCAGTGTCCACTTGCATTTCACAAAATTAAACATCAAAATTATATTTTAAAATGGTCATATGGTTCAGGAAACTACACTAACCGCATGTGGATTTATCTTGCACGTGTGTTACTCAACATTTTACTTGCTTAATTAATTCTTAATTCTTGACTGAAATTATTTGTTCAAATTTCTTTGAGAAGTAGGGGAACGCCGTTCTCATGCTCCTCATTGCTTGTATGGCTTTAATAATCCGCGTGAACTGATCTGGTCGAAATAATTTGTCCAATTAAAAAAAATTCCGTTCATTT